ACACATCATCCAGCACAGAGAGTACAGCCTCCATGGTCTCCTCACATGTGGGCTCGATCTGATCTTCTGGCAGAACAAATCCATGCTTACCAGTATCTCTCAGCTCAAATGTGTATGAGAAGGGGATCCCAATGTCCTGAGCCCAGTCTCTCGAGGACCCTGATGTAGCATCTACAAAGGAAATAGAAGGCACAGTTAGAAACTACATCGAAAAGATAGAGTTCTGAAGCCACTTCAGGGAATGAAAGTTCAATCTTGCAAAATAAACAAGCTCTTTCAGATTAGAGCCTCGTGGAATTGCTACATCCCCACCAGCAGCTTGATATTAAGACTCAACAGGGCAGAGACTGTACCTTAATCCTCTTCTCTGCCTTCATAGTACCTAGCACTGTGCCTGACATGTAGCAAAGGTTTTGTTAAAGTTTATCACCTGAATCAAAGACAAGGCCATCTAATAATGCAAGGCAAGAGTTAACTAGTTCATTCAAATAAATGAATCAAAATGACCAACAGGAAAATATCATGCAAATATTATGTAGGTGGGTTCAGGAAGTTGTAGGAGGTGATGGTTGGCGATGATAGAAAGCAGTGCACTTTTTTTCCTCCTAAATTCCTTTCTTTTAGATCCTTTCTCCAGGCCCTACCTTGTTCTGCTTTCTTAGTGCAATAGGTCCCCTGAGAACTGAATCAACTGACTAAGGGTCACTGGACAATGTCCTTTCTGTTAACTCCTGTGCCTTCTAACTTGCCAGCTCTTTTTAACTGAAGCCAAAGGAAGTTCTGGGCTGAGCCAGAGTATTAATTTCTTGTTATTGCTCATACTTTATCCCTAGAGAGCATAATTCTGGATTTGCACAGATTTCCTTTTATCCTTGGTCATTTCGATTTATACAACTCCTTGTTGATTCCGGGAACTCTTCTATCCCTCTCCTGCCCACCTCCATCCCCCACCCTCTAGTCCCCACCAAAGACCACTGACTTCTTTTGTGCCTTAGATATTATTGAAAAGGAAAAAAAAACCTAAAATACTTACATAAAATATCTATACTTGAACCAACTCTATAACTTGTCCCATGCTTTGCTTTCAACGCATCTGCTGCCTTCTGAGCAATTTGAATCTATAGGAGCAATGGAGACACAGATATTGATCTTTAAAATAAATCCGTCAATATAGGAGGGTTGGTATTTTCTTCAGATCCATCTCCACAGTTCCAGACGAATTTTTCAACTTCTCATTGGATGCTTACACCTACTTTAACTGCTGATACTTCAGACTCAACATACTTGGGGTAGTTAAGGTTATGGGCCTGTCACCTTGGCTGGGCTTGGTTTTGAGTAGCTGGGCAGCTGGATGTAGTTACTCCCCATGATGAGACTGATAAGCAACATCATGGCAGAATCTGCAGTGAGCAGCTGAGTAGCTATCTTAGGGATGTGGTCTGCTTCTACTTTATAAGAAGAAGCTTTGAGAAAGGTCTCTGCAGCTTGTTGACATGCTTGGACTATGCACGTAGCTGAGTCTTCATTCAGCAACCTGCCATGCTCTGCTGATCTTAGGACTTTTTCTGGACTTGAACTAGGGCCTGCTATGTTGTTTGATAATCTTGGGACTATGCCTTTTTACTTGTCGACCTTGGGTTTGCCAGCCTCAGCAGCCAGCAGCTGCCTGCGTTAAGAAAAGCCTCTAGCTTCAGTGGGTTGGGAGCAAGAGGGAGCTGAATCCCAAGGTCAAGGGGCTTTCACCCAGACTCTAGAGCTAGGGACTTTGAACTCGGACGTCCAGCCTCCTAAACTGTAAGAGAATAAATTCGTTTGTTAAGGCCACCCAATTGTGGTAGTTTCTGTTAGAGGAGTACTTAGGTAGCCAAAACAATACTGAACTCCAATTTCATCATCTCCTCTGCTGTAAGAATGTTCTGATTCTCAGAGTTCTGGTGTAGTGTGCTCCTCCTCTTTCACTCTTTTTCTTTCACATCTTTCTGTTCTCAAACAATTACCAAATTCCATTTGCAATGATGCCACACTAGTCCAGATCCATTGCCTCTGACTGAACCAGACTGATGTCATCCTCTCATCAATACTTATTCCAATTGACCCCACCTGGCTTCCAGATGAACTTTTATAGAATAGATCTATGCTCATGATCCTGCTGAAAAAACTTCAGTAACTATCAGTTGTCCACAAAATTAAGAACAAACTTCTCAGCCTAGTTTTTAAAATCCTCCAACATATACCCTTAATGTACCTGGTACCCAAAGATACATACATTTCCATGTTTACTTTATTTGGCAAAGGAGTGAATATAACCTAACCTTAGATGGAAAAAAAAAGTTGTGATTAAATTAAGGCTCTGGAGTGGAGGATTTATTCTGGAACACCTGGGTGGTTCCTAAATGCAATCACATGTATCCATATAGGAGAAAGGCAGAGGGAGATTATTAGACACACAGAGAAGAGGAGAAGGCAATGTGATTACAGAGATTGGAGTGATGTGAACACACACAAGCCAAAAGACACCTGAAACCTACCAGAAGCTGCAAGAAGCGAGAAGCAGATTCTCTCCCTTCAGAGGGAGTGCTGCCCTGCTGGAGCCTAGATTTCATACTTCTGGCCTCCAAAATGCTGAGAGAATATATTTCTGTTGTTTTAAGCCACGCAATTTGTGGTAATTTATTACAGCAGTCACAGGAACTAAATATACCACTTTCCAACTTTATACTCTCTATATCCACCCTGTTGTTGTTGTTGTTGTTATGTGCCGACGAGTCAGCCCCGACCTATAGCGACCCCTCCTTGGGTTTCCAAGGCAGTTATCACTACGGAAGTAGGATTGCCCAAGTTTATTAGGGAAGTAGCAGGTGCTGCGAAGGACACAGTTCTTTGGTCAGGACAACTGCTTCCCCAGCTGTGCCAGGAGGCAATCTCTGTCACCGGGACCTGCCCAGGCCTGGGCCTAGACTATAGTCAAACTCAAGGTTACCCACTGTTCCCCAGACATGATCCATGTTCTTCAACCACTCTCCTTTGCTAGGGACATTCTCTCTATGTGGAAGCTTCACCTGTTAACTCTGGCTGTTCAAATCCTACCCAACTTCAAAGGACTTCCTCAAGTGCCAACCACTCCATGAGGCCTTTCCTCATCACCCCAACTGGAGTCTCTCTCTCCTCCCTTTGAACTCCTTGTATCCCTCTGCCCACACCTCTTTTACTGTACCCTCCTAATTCTACCTGGCAGTGTAGGTATTTGCTATTTATTTCTCACAGGCTCCTAGAGTTTTAGGGCTTGCTGTTGTACTCTTCCCCACATCTCCCACCATATGGCCTTTCATATTGGAGAGCTCTCAGAGTTAGATGATTTCTGAGATCTTGGCCTCGCTCTTTCTGGACCCTTTCCTGAGATCAAAGCAACTAACTAAAATCTAAGTCTATTAATTACATTTATTGGCCTTTTGATAAATCTCTTTTCACACCCTTCTGACGGGCCCTCTAAATGTTCCCTACTCTGGATTTCCCAATGCTGTATTCTACCCGGGAGCTCTGGTGGCATAGTGCCTAAGGCATTGATTTGACTGCTAACAGAAGGCTGGCGGTTCAAACCTACCAGCCATTCCTCAGAAGGAAGGTTGGGCAATCTACTTCCGTAGTGATACTGCCTCGGAAACCCAAGGAGGGGTCACTATGAGTCAGATCTGACTGGACAGCAGTGAGTGAGTGAGTGAGATATTCTACCCACTTGATGATAGATCCCACTGTTGCTCAGCTCCTTAGGGCAACCTGACAAGTTGAACATTTGTGGGTAGGTCAGCTCTCTTGACTCCTAACTAGCAGATGGGTTTCTTTTAGATCCTGGTTCTCTCTTCTTTCAGATCCTGGCTCTGTTCTGTCCAGCTGAATCCTAAGACGTAACAGACTTGTGCCTGGGTGTAGTGGGGAAAAGTGCAATGAAGGTCAAAAGGAAGAATATAAAAGCAATAGGCTATTTTTTTTTTTTTGGAGATGGGAGGTCATATAAACAGTTTTGGGTAACATTCTTAGGACACTTTGGACTTCCTGTGTGTGACTAAGGTAAAAATAAAACATTAAATTGAACATATTTCCAAGCTTCCGCCTCTTTTCCGCTCACGATTGAAATTTCTATCTCTGGCCATTCAGTTTCTCTCTCTATTCCTGACAGGAGCTTCTGGGTCTTCACTTGGTTTTGTTTTGTCCTGATTTCACATAATGGGTGGGAAGGCCTAGAGGGCCTTTACAAAGAATAAAGTGAATTTTATAATTTCCAATGGAGAGAATAGGATATTTATAGAAAGAAGAAGAAATTATAAGAGGGAGAGAAGAGTCAGAAAGGGGATTTCTGAGAGAAAAATTTTAGTAAGAAATTGAAAGTGATAGAAAGGATTCAGGGTAGGTGCTGTGTGCGAGTGAAATTAAAAGCAAGAGTCTTAGGGAAAAGTTGCTGTGGTTGGCATCTACAATACATCCTTATTTTAAAGTTCTTCAAGAGTCTATAGTAGAGACCAGAATTGCTTAATTAAAAGCAATTTAAAATTAAAATTTTAAATTAAATTAATTTAATTTAAAATTAAAATTTAAAATTCTCATGTGTTTCTCTGAAAGAAAGTTGATGCTAACAGGGCCATGCAGGGCCTTGACTTTTATTTGGGTTACATAGGTTAGTCCCAGGCTACATTCTCCATCTAAATGGTTGCTTGCATTTTTTTTTTTTTTTCTCTTTCCTGCAGCTCACCATAGCCAACTAATCATTTTTCTTATTACCAACTTTTACTTATTCTGTTCTTATAGTTATTTCTCCTCAAATCCTGGCTGTGGGATTAGGAACAGTGTCCCTGGTTTCCCATTCTTTGAAAAAAAATTTGAGTTCTTTCCTTTTTGTGGATAGTGGTGAGAGACATGACATATGTATGAAGTGTACGGTTGTGACCCTTCACCTAGGGAATGTGTCCTTTCTGAGAAGATAAAACAGAAATCCCCTAGACCTACGAGGTCAGCTTCTGTTTGTGGTGGGGTCTTCTGATTACCTTCCCCTCTCCTGATACTATGCGCAAGGCCATTTCTCTGCTGCCCTTCTTCTCAGCCTAAACGTGTTTTCCAGTCAAAATAACAAATACTCTTTTGCCAATGATACACAATTTACATTGAAAAAGACCTTTACCAAGTTGACAGTTCCTTAGCTGGATCCAGAGAACTAATTCTAACATAATCTTCACACCAAAAGGATGACTGGGGCCCTGTGTGTGGGTCAGTCGGGGGCGGGGGATGAGTTGGGAGTGGAGCATAAGGATTGATATGGGAGGAGATCAAAGGGAAAGAGTGTAAACAACTAAAAATAAGAATTCTTAGAGCTATGCTAATTTGCAAAGCAGTTTAGATGGGGATTCTATTAGTTTCTTCCCCTCTCTAGGGACTGCTAAGTTTTCCATCACAAAGTATATTTGCCATGATTTATAAAAAAATTTAAGTTTTGTAGATTCATAGAAGTTAATTACTAGTCTCTAGAGATTGTAACTAATAGAAACCTTCTCAGAACAATTGGCTTGATTGGGTGTCTTTGTGTATTCTATCAAAGCTTATCATTAAGGACCTAAAAACACAGCTAGCTAGCATCAGTAAGGTTAACACATGGTGGCAAAATTCTCACACTGTATTTTTACTGAAAAGTCTTGGATATGAATATTTATGCTAACTAGTTACTTCAGCACATGAGATAGTAAAGGATATAGACTGGAGGCTCTCTTTCTCAGACTGATTTACCAGTTTCTGTATATAGTGCTAAAGAATTGCCAATGATTCCATCACTAGAGTTGCCTTCCAGTAGAGGTGATAGCATTGCCCCAAGTTGCTCCTGCCTTCTTGCTCCCTCCCACCAGTGACCACAGTGCTCCTCTAACCTCTAATCATCAGCACCAGACCCATGGGACTTTTGAATATAAACCTTGCAAAATGATCATGTGGCATGAATTTTCTTGAAACATAAGGGGAATGAAGCTCCCTAAAAAAAAAAAAAAAAAAAAAATTAGGTACTATTTTCACTGTTAGTAGAATGGCCCCTTCCATCAAAGATCAATAGTGGCCTTTCCGTGGTGGTTCATTTGTTTTTGTCACAGATTCTTTTAAGCAGAAAGCAAATATCTACAACAAATATCACAGAAACTGGGGTAAAAGGGGAGTTTTGGGCTTTTCTGTTGAAGTCTCAGTTTCTGCAGACTTCTTTACTGAAAAAATGAAACTTCTGGTTCTCAGGAATGAGAGGAAAGTAGGATATTATTGATTGGGCATCTAAATTGATAAAAGCAAACCCTTTCTGAGCTGGGAAAAGCTGTTTGAGGTAGTGAAATAAATGTCACCTCTAGAGTCTGAAGACTTGAGTTCAAGCTCAAGCGCCACTATTTATTGTCTACAGAGATTTGGGAAATGTATTTAATCAAGATTTCAGTCTGCATATTTCCAAAATAGGTCAAAGTACTGTCATGAAGTTCAAATGCGATGTTAGGTGCTGTGGAGTTGGCCTAACTCATGGTGGCTGATGCACAACTACAGCAAAAAGCCACTTGGTCGTATAGCCTGCCCGGGATTGATTTTGCAGATTGCACTGTTGCAACGTAAGGTTTTCACTGGCTGATTTTTGGCTTTACTTCCTAGTCTGTCAGTCTGGAAGCGTCACTGAGACTCGTTTCACTTAAACCTCTACTGACAGGTGGTGTAGTGCCTAAGGCATTTAACTGCTAGCCAGAAGGCTGGCGGTTTAAACTTACCAGCCACTCCTCAGAAGAAAGACTGAGCAATCTACTTCCATAGTGATACTGCCTCGGAAACCCAAGGAGGGGTCGCCATGAGTCAGATCCGACTCCACAGCTGTGAGTTTGGTTTTGTTTTTGGTTTGAAAGTTGGGTGGTGGATGCATATGAGGTGTAGTGGCCAGAAATTGAGCCCAGGTCTCCAGCATTAGAGGCTCAAATTTCTATGTGGTCACCACAAGTCACAGTTGACTTGACAACAACTGGTCAAATGAAATAATGACAGTAAGATCCTATTGTAAATTGTGAAGTTGTAGGCAAATATTATTTATTTACACATCTTACAAAATTATAATGTAGTACAAGTGCTCCTGGGCCAAGAAAGAAAAAGTATTAAGAGTAAGGCACTGGGGTGCTGCTGGATATTTGACTCCTGGGGGAAGGGCTGCCTCAAGCAAAGATCTCCAGCGGTTTTTCTTCTGGTGCCCAGGTTTAATATGTCATGCTTCAGTGGGAGAGAGGCAGGAGGTGTAGCAGAACCAACAGGTCACCAGGCCTCTGTGATCTTAATGGCAAAGTTGGCTTAGCCCCTAGTCCATCTTGTTTAAAGAATACAAGATACTGTATTTAAAAAGACAAGATAGCAAATATAATAATTCTAAATTTCTCATCTCTTTGATTTGTGTCTACTGTCTTCTGAATTTCCAAAAGAGCAAAGAGCCCAGTCTTTTCAGCAATTCTGCCCACCACTGCTTCGGTAAACAAAGCTTTGGGGACTGCTCCAGAGTGAGGAAAAGCAGTGTCCCCAGTTTGCAGTTCACTGACACTTCCCCTGAAGAAGATTCCTAGGCAAACGGTGGAGGAAGAGTCTACAAGAAAATAAAGCCTTGTGTTTAGCAGAGAAGAAAGCAGATACAGTTCAGCCTTGTTACTTCAGATATGCCATATTCTACTAACAGCTGGCAAATTCTTTAAAGCACGGTTCAAAAGCCGTAATTGCTGAACGGAACTTCAAGAGAATTTACAGAAATGATAGTGCATTCTAGCAGATTATTAACATAATCATCTCATTTATATTATAGACGAATACCTAAGATGTCTCCCAACTCGACACTTTAAGAAACAGGTAGTTAATTAATGTAGGTAACACAACATTTAACCTGAAGCCTTCCCAGCAGACATCTGGCATGGTGCAAAAACTAGAGAAAGAGATTAACAAGGAGAAGAGAGGATGGGGGAGGGGCAGTGCTGGAGCCAAAATCTTGGAAAAGAAAAGCAGGAGACGCAAACAGGGGTCTTACTGAGACTTTAGTAGAGGTACTATGGTCTTACCATTTCTTCATAGTTACTTGATTTGTTTTGGGTGTAACCGTAAGGCGTGAGAATGAGCTGCCCGTAAGAGTGTATGGTGAGAAAGCACAGAATGTCCTCCTTCTTGCTCTCTATAAAGCTGGAGACAGCTTTAGTCTCCGGTTCAGACACAGGGCCCGTCCCACAGAAGGTTAAATCTTGGCAGTTTTTAGATGCACCAATACCTGAAACAGACCGGAAACCACAGGGAAGGTGTCATGATCTCAATTTAAAACCCACCAAGGACAAGGAGTCACCCTTGCTTGGGGCTTCTGTGGATGAAATCAGGGCCTGCCTGGTCTTGTCTAAATTAATCCTGGCTCATTGTAAAACAGTCGTTTCAGGAGGAACTCAGAAAGGAAGGTGGGCCAACATATGGATTTAGAAACAAATTCCATGCTTCCATGGCCCAGGAAGGAGGAGACCAAACAAAATGGCATTTTCAGTAATTTTTTTTTTTCCCTTTTTTGCAGATTGGGAAAGGCTTCCCTAAGGAGTTTGGATTTGTTTATTTCTTTCTATTTTTCTGTGGTACAATACATAACAAAGTTTTCTATTTTAACCAATTTTTTTTTAATTTGTATTATGGTGAAATAGATATAATAATACATTTGTCATTTCAATCACTTTTACACATAAGATTCAGTGGCATTAATTGTATTCACAATGTTGTGCAATCACTTTTTATGTCTAAAACTTCTTCATCCAAACAGAAACTTGTTGTTGTTGTTATGTGCCGTCGAGTCGGCCCCGACTCATAGCGACCCCTCCTTGGGTTTTCGAGGCAGTATCACTACGGAAGTAGGATTGCCCAAACTTCCTTCCAAGGAGTGGCTGGTGGGTTTGAACCGCCAGCCGTCTGGTTAGCAGGCAAGTGTCTTAGCCACTATGCTAACAGAAACTTAGTGCCTTTCAAGTAGTAACTCCTCATTCATCCCCCCCCCCATTCAATAATCTCTCTTTGTCTCTGCACATTGGGTCATCCTAGATATTTCGTGTAAGTGGGAACATACAATATTTGACTATTTTGTGTTTGATTTTTTCCACTTAGAATAAGGTTTTCAAGGTTTATTCTTGTTGCAGCTTTGTTTCTCTTTATAGCTGAACAATATTCCATTGTATGAATCCGCCACATTTGGTTTATCCATTCATTTCAGTTCATTTACTTGCAGCTTCCAAGCCTGTGGTGGGTCCTGAAGCAAATGGTTGGGGCCCCGTTCTTAGGGTGTTACTTCAGGCTCTAACATAACCCTATTGACCCAGGTCTTTCCCTCACTGTCTTACTAGCTTGAATCTCAGTAGAGCTAATTTGTAAGGACAGGACGTAAGTTAATTATAATAAGGATCGTCAGTTGAACACCTCTTACATGTGAGGCACTGTGCTCAGCCCTTCCTATCTGTTGTCTCATTTAATCCCCACAACAACCTAGCCATAAACTGCTTTTACTACGGCCCATATTTTAAATAAGAGGAAACTGAACAGACAGATGAAGAGATTTCTCAGGGCCACACAGTTGCCAAGTCTGATTTTAACCCTTGCTTTGTAACCATTCTTGCCATTTGTTGTTATTGTTGCTGTTTGTTTGTTTGTTTGTTTTCAATTCTTTGGGTATGCTGAGATTCAGAGACATGAAATGCCTTATGGAGAAGAAAATGTTTGTCTTGTTTAATGACCACCCTCCTCCTGTAAAAATAATGGGCAAGGATAATTGTGACTTTTCTTTCCTCTAAGAAAAATCGTGCATTTAGAAACACAGTGATGAGGGTCAAGTCATTGTCATATTCACACTTGGTCTAAGTCTTTATCCTTACTGAGGATAACACTCCCTGCACAGAAGTGTTAATGGTTTTTACAGCATAGATTTCCTGTAGAGGAAATGAAACTGGTCAGGAAGTCTAGAAAGTAGATGCATGAAGGTAGATGTTTATTTATTTACTACAAAATTATCTCTCTAGTAATTCACCTCGTTCCTTGCTCTACTGCTTTGTTTTTTGTTCATCAGTCATCTCTTAAATATGTACTTACTACACCAAGATGCATTGAAATTTCTGTTGAGATCCGTCCCAAAGCATGTGCCATTATTATGGGATGACCGGGATTTCCTCCAAACACGATCCTGTAACAGAGCAACATAGGGATGTTACCATCCTAAGTTAACATAACTCATAGTGCAAGTGATGACTGACAGCCTTCAAACAGCAAAAATGTTTCCTAAGATTGTCTGTCAGGAAGAACTTGTCTTCAACATTATTAAGCTTATGTATGAACATTTGAATCTTGCAGATGGGCTAGCAACCCCTAATAACAGGAACACCTGTACAGCCAAAAGTGTCCCTACATGTACAAAATCAAATTGGAGGGAGTAGGTCAGCCTTTTCTTCATAAGCAGATTGGCAGTGCCTGCGGACATGTTCTGCTTAATCAGGGAAAGCTTCAAAGAGTCATTTTTTAGGTCCAAGTGTTAGAGGATGAAAGGGAAATAGCTTGGCAGGTGGAAAAAGGCTGTTCCAGGTGTATCAGAGACGGGCTGTGCACATTTCTGGAAGCAGAAGACTGATGAGTGGAGATAGGGTTAAAGACAAGGTTCACCTGACAAGCACAGAGGAGGAGGGGCTGGATTCAAACACCAGGCCAGCAAGGCTTTTCCATAGAAAAGTCTCTCTCATCGGGTGCTTTTGGGGAATGATGGGGAATGGGGAGTAATTAAGACTTTCTCAGAAACAGGCACTCTTATTTGTAAAATAATATGCTTTAGAAATATTGTTTAAGAGAATGTTGTCTACTAAATGAAAATACTTCATGAGATGTCCTCCCCTGTGTGAATGAGCACATTGAACAGTGAAGGCTGGTTTTGGATTTACGTATCATTTATTTGTCCTCACGCTTCTGAGACTGATTGTAGGTGGATACAGATTGTTACATGAATTTTATATCAATATACTCTGATAGGGTGGCAGGCGATCCACAAATTAAAGTAGACAGAAGAGAAAAAAAGTCAAGTCTAGTTGGAGAACTGGGAATTTGTTAAAAAGAAGAGAAAGAAGACAGTTCAGGAGACCTTAAAAAGCCAGTTGCAGTGGAATCAATCCCAACTCATGGAGCCCCATGTGTGTCAGAGTAGAACTGAGATCCCCAGAGTTTTCAATGGCTGATTTTTCAGGAGAGATCACCAGGCCTTTCTTCCGAGGTTCCTGAGTGGACTTAAACCTCTGATGTTTGTTAGCAGCCTAGTGCAGTGAGTCACTGGTTCCACCCAGGGAGTCCTGGAGAGGATTTACCAGTTGCCCTCAAGTCAACTTCCACTTATGGTGACCTCTTCAGTCCAAAATTTTACTTAGATTGTTTGCTAAAAAGAAAACATTAAGTTGATTTTTATCCCAAAGGGAATTTCTTTCTTTACATAGGCACAGACATATAGTTTGTGATCTTCTCCCACCACCAGACTTAATGCACTCACAGTGGTCCAAGTGTAGATATAACCATCAACGTTAAGAACTGGAAGCACATAAAAGTCCAGGTTCCCAAGGAGCCTGCTTATCCTTGAGTTGTCTTTGTAGCTTTGTAGAATCTAGAAATTTAAGAGATATACATGAGGAATGATTTTGGAGGTCCTTTTCCAATTTCCTAAATATTTCAACTTAATAATAAGTAACTGTACATTCCACCCCCAAATCCTAACTGCACCTCAGTTATCCTAGTCTGTGTGGTTGTTATTGTTGTGTGTCGTTGAGTCAACTCTGACTTACGCCAACCACATGTGACAGAGTAGAACTGCCCCATGGGATTTTCTAGGCTGCAATCTTTATGGGAGCGGATTGTCAAGTCTCTTCTCATGCAGCACCACTAGGTGGATTCAAATTGACGATTCTCTCATTGTCCAACATGGCACATTTGTAACAGTAGTAAAAATCTACTATCTGACTATTTTGTGCTTTAAGGGTATATGTCTGGCAGAAATGAACACTGCAGTGTAAGGCAAGAGGAACATTGGCTGTGATGGTTAAGGGTACATGGCAACATGACTAGGGTATGATTTCAGTGGTTTGGTAATTGTGTAATGATGTAATTTGGCAGTTACATAATGATTTAGTCATTTTGTGATCCCACGTGGTCATCCTCCATTGTTGCATAATGCCAAATTTTGCATAATGACCTAGTCTTTGGGATCTAACTATGTCAGTAAGTGAGGAGTGAGTGTATTCACTATTTTTCCTCAACACCATAATTCAAAGGTATCAATTCTTCTTCAGTCTTCCTTATTCGTCAAGATTTCACATGCATATGAGGCAATTGAAAATACCATGGTTTGAGTCAGGTGCACCTTAGTCCTCAAAGTGATAGCTTTGCTTTTTAATACTTTAAAGAGGTTTTTAGCAGCAGATATGCCCAATGCAATATGTCATTTTATGATTTTTTTAAATTTTATTTTTATTTATTTATTTGAAGATTTACAGAGTAAATTCACTTTCCATACAGCAGTTCACATATACTTTGTCTCATGTCATTGACCAAAATTTACAATGCAACAGCTCCCCT